AGAGAGGAGAGAGAGAAAGAGAGAGTGAGAGAGAGAGAAAGGGAGAGACAGAGACAAAGAGAGACAGAGAGAGACAGAGAGAGAGACAGACAGAGAGAGAGAGAGACAGAGAGAGAGAGAGAGAGAGAGAGAGAGAGAGAGAGAGAGAGAGAAAGACAGAGAGAGAGAAGCACAAAAACAACCTAATGCATCATGTATCTATGAATGAATGAATGAATGAATGAATAAATATAATAATATTCACCCTGAATTTCTTCTCTCTCTCCCAGTTCTTCTTCTGTTTCTCCCTGTGCAGAAGGAAGACGAACCCCAAGAGGAACGCGGAAAAGAGGATGGCACTGAAGACTAACAGGACATAGTGGGCGGCGGTCAGAGGGGGCATGCTGACCACTGGGCAGTGCTTACGTCATGATGCACACACAGTGCTGTGGATAGATAGAGTGAGGGGGCATTGAGTGTGACGTCACCTTAAAGACATAAGTTGCTCATACGTCAATAAATTTTATAACGCTGACGGGAGGAAAGTAGAGGTGGGCAAATCCGGATAATCTATAGGATAACCGGATAATTCTCAATGAAACATTATCCGAATTCAGACTCTTAACTCTCTTTTTTCCTGACCCGTTTGCCGAAGTGGTTGCACCTAATTGTTGAAATGATGCTACCCGCTTCTTGAAGTGGTTCTAACCCATTTGCCGAAGCGGTTCATATCATATTATTTGCCGAAGAGGTGCACTAACATAGTATCCGGATTTTGCTAAAGCGACTCATTGCCCAGCCCCAGTGGAAAGTAGTGCTGTCCCATTTTGAAAGAAAAAAACCCGCGAAATTTTATGGGCGCTTCGAGGCGTGAAGTAAGTCACTATTCTCGCTATATTCGAATACCGAGCGAGAATGGTTTTCTTTTCTAAATAGAAGCGTATCAGCAACATTCGTTATTCATTTATACCTTTGTTGGCTTTACTTATGACTCTTATCATAAGGGACCGTTCTCAAATGACGTCAGTTAAATTTGGCCAACAATGACCCCCCACCCCCCCACCCCCCC